AAGTAATTTAATAAGAACACTATTATTTCAATGTGACTGCTAGAGCATAAGTACATTGGGGGACATAATGATGTCAGCAGATGTTTGCCATCACTTGTACAACCACGACAACTGCAACTGCTGCAAATGCACATTCATGTAGTTGTGCTGTTTGGTCTTCAAAGACCATGAGTTATGTTGCTGTGGATGATGTGATTTTTCCAAAATGATGCAGCTCTTGGTAAATTCCAAACAGAACAAATAATAACTGTATCTCAATGTACCCAGTTGTTGCAGTCCTGGAAAATTTACTGTATATAAAGCTATGAAAAAAATAATGCTTTATCTTAATATGTAAAGTGGAGATAGACTTATGTTCAGAAATTATAAACAGGTTTTTACTTGCATGGATATCCTTTGGGATTTTTAGATATACAAAAGACACAGGACAAGGCTTAATCCTTTGGAAGAGTCCCACACATTGCAGAATCTCTAACAGCCCAGACCTCTGCCTATTTAATGCAGCTTGTGGCCACAGTTACCATGAGAACCATAAACAACCCCAAAGACCTCAAGAATTTGAACCCTAGGAGTCAGTACCAACTCTGGTGAGAACCACTGGTTTGAAGTATTTTCTACAAAGCTTCCCCCATTGACTCAGATGATTAAGAGTTGACTCGCTATGAAACCAAAGAATAATAGCGATAGAAAGGACCCTAAATCTTATGTAATTGGCCCCCTCATTTTACCCACGTGAGGTAAGTAAATTGCTCTTGGACACTTGGTTACTACATAATCTAGGATAGAAACCAAGATTTCCCTTTAGTGGTTTTTATTTCCTATTGAAGTTAGAAAGCTACCCTTGAATTTCTCTCTGCTACACCAGCTATTTGAAAATAGTTGAATGATTCACAACATTTTCCAGTTTTTTTCAGGATATTTGGGGTTAAAACCATTCACTCCTCACCACCGAACTTCAGTGCCAGGTGGGATACTCTCTAATGCCACTAAAAGCCTGGATGCCCACATACAAATAAATGAGGAGGATTTTTAAAATATTATAAAATAGAGTTGGCTGAGTGGCGTGTTGGTTAGGAGTTGGCTTGGGACCTCAGCTCTGAGCAGTAAGGCCCCAGTTCGAATCCCACATGAGGGCCAGTGACACTGCCCTCTACAGCTAAGATGGTGAACAACAGCTCAACCTGGAGCTGGGCTGCCATAAGGCGACAGGAACAGCATAGACTGCAGTGGGGTTGGCTGGCAACTGGCGTGAGCTTTCGTGAGCTGCTGTGAGCGGCCATCCAATGGCCAGTGAGTGACTGCCTCACCTGGGAAGAGCACAATGATAATACCAACATGGGCCAGTAAAGCAACGTCCTCCACAACTACAATGAAGAACGAAAGGACAACTTGTCTGTTCCCCTTCCCCGATTCCCCAACACTGTTCCTCTCCCCCAATTCTCCAATAAAATCTTTAAAAAAATAATTAATTAATTAATTAATTAAAAATATATATATATATATTATAAAATGCCTTACAATGTGTCCAAAAGAACAATTCCTAGAGCACAAAATTGTCTTACAGCAGTGGTTCTCAACCTTCCTAATGCCGCGACCCCTTGATACAATTCCTCATGTTGTGGTGACCCCCAACCATAAATTTATTTTCGTTGCTACTCTAGAACTGTAATTTTGCTACTGTTTTGAATCATAATGTAAATATCTTTTTGTTTTCCGATGGTCTTAGGCGACCCCTGTGAAAGGGTCGTTTGACCCCCAAAGGGGTCGCAACCCACAGGTTGAGAACCTCTGTCTTACAGCGTTAGTACTAATTGATGTTCTCACTGTTCTCCCCAAACTCTAGTCATCAAGATCCAATCAGGACCCTGGGAAATTAATGACTAGAATTCCCTCTGTCCCTGTTCTGTGCACAGCTCAAGGCCTTTTCCTCCAGCTTAGGACAGCAAGGGGCTGCTCCCTGCACGAGACCTACTGAAGTATTGGCTGTTGGCTTCTGATGGTGAACTGGGTATTTTTTTTTTTTAGCTGAGCCATCCTGCCACCTGTTGGCAGCTCAGCAGCAGCTCAGCTCGGGCCGTGAATCAAACCGGGGACCCTGTTGCTCAGAGCTCAAACTCTTGAGTGAGCTCTTAACAAACTGAGCCACTCAGCCGGCCCTGAACTGGGTATTTTTACATTTGATTTATCAGATCAAACATTAAGGAGACAACATTTGATTGCACAAACCACAATACTGGCTCTTCAAATTAAATTTGCAAGTTGATGTCTGTTTCCAAAGCATTGCTTGGAAAAAATTCTATCCATAAGCCTTGCATATTATCAGAGGGTAAAGAAGGGTGAAGAGAAGAAGCTCATAGCATATAAGAATTATTGGAGGGCTGGCCGAGTGGCGCATTGTATTAGAGCTGGCTTGGGATGCCAGAGGGCCCCGGTTCGGATCCCACATATGAAGGCCAGTGACACTGCCCTCTACAGCTAAGATACTGAACAACAGCTCAACCTGGAGCTGGGCTGCCGTGAGTCGCCGGCGACGACATAGGTTGCAGCCCCTGTGGCAGTGGGTTGCCATGGGCTACTGTGTGTAGCCAGCAGCCAGCATGAGCGGCCAGCAGCCGCTGTGAGTGACTGTCCAGAAGCCAGTGACTGATCTGCCTCGCCCGGGAAGAGCGCAATGATGGTGTCAACTTGGGCCAGTGAAGCAACGTCCTCCACAACTAGACTGAAGAACAAAACGACAGCAACTTGTCTGTTCCCCTTCCCCAATTCCCCAGCACTGTTCCCATCCCCCCAATTCCCCAATAAAATCTTTAAAAAAAAAAAAAGAATTATTGGATAAATCTGTGGTTCCTCCACCAAAGAGGAGCAGTTAACTGCCTCCTCATAATTCCTTCCTCACACTGCACTAAAGGAGCAAACAGCTCTCTTTAGGGTAAGCGAACACAAAAGCCCTCCAAGCGAGCAAACACCATCAGGTCCTCCTACTCAGCGCTCAGACACCCTATAATTTCCTCACAGAGGAGTTCCTCAAGCCTTCCTTCGAAGACCACTGTCTCTTAATTTTAGACTCACTCTAACAATTTAAAGATGGGTGTTGGAAGCAGCAATTTAGAAAAGGAAGAGGTCTGAGAGAAACAAGAAGAAGCAACTTACAGTCTGACCTCCAGGAAGGAGATGGAAAACTGTTTTTACAAAGGGGAGGGAAGGGGGGCCTAACATAGGAACTCAAAATAAATAGCAGCCCGGACCATTTACTGTAGGGACACACAGCTTTGCTAGCCTTGAGAGCAACTCCAGCATACAGAACAACATAGTAATGGATGTAAAAGAAAAGTCAGATTATGCTCAATATATTTTGCTGCACAATCCAGTACAGCAGGTAGAATCCTGGAGTGGCAGAGTAGGAAGACTCTTAAGAGAGCATCCCAGGCTAATTCGTTTATTTTACAAAAAAGGAAACTGAATGCAAAAATGTGGAACAGGTTCCAGGAAGAGTTGAGACCACAGCAGAGCTCAACTGGTCCAGCGCTGTTTCCATATGGACGCCCTGACAACTGTTGTCACTAAGAGGAAAGAAAAAGGGATATTGCATCACATTCAATCATTCGTTGTGTCATTCCTCTTGACATCTCTGTTTTTGCTTCTTTGCACTGACTTCTACCCCTTCAAACAAAAGAAAAGAAAAGAAATCTGCTGTCTTTATTCTCAAAAGAGCGAACTATTGTTCCCTGATTGGTGATGAAAGACCTCACGATAGGTCCGTAACAAAATTGGGACTGAAGGTGAAGTTTGAGTTTCCTCCTACATCCTTCCACATCCCATCCCTGCTGTGTTCCCTCCACGCTGTCCTATGTCTGTCCTCCAACTTGGAACCCCACCCACTGGCCCCACACCCAGAGTTCCTAGCACAATGTAGGAAATTCTCCCAACTCCCAGGAGTTTGGTGTATTCCTAGTCTCTTTCTAATTTGATCTCTAATTTCATCAAAGAATGAGGCGATATACCAGTGTTTTTCAAATATCTGTGGGGAGTTTTCTAAAATGCAAATCCCTGATCTCCATCTACTGAAATTACGATTCAATACGTGCTTCTGGTGGACATGGGCCTCTCCAGCCTCGTCTCCTGCCAGCCCCTAGTGCACACTCCCCTCCATCTGAATACTTCACATAGTCTCTCTCCACCTTCTTTGCCCAATTAATTCCTGCATATACCTCAAACCAGCTAATGTATTTTTCTCGCATCTCTCATCTCTTCTCTCTCATCTCTGCCCTCATTGTTCTTGTAAATCTTGAACATTATCAAGCTTTTCTACAGCCCACCATGTGCACTGGTTTTCTGGTATGTCTCCCCTTGAGGGTAGGGCTATGTCTCACTCATTCTTTTTTATTCCCAGCATTTAGCACCCTGCCAAGCACAGAGTAGGCACTCTAAAAGTGTTAATTAAATTATCTTTTGCATGTGCTAAGTTTCCGTGTTAATAACTAGTCATTTATTTATATTTGCATTTTTATCAACCCTCCTAGATGTAGTACAGGATTTTCAGGGATCACTCAAAGTATCATTCTCAAATGAGAAGCACATTTGACAATATGTAAAAATGAAAGCGAAGAATGCTACAAATATCTAACTAATGCTGGTGCCAGCCATTGAGGGGGTCATAATGAGTTAGGCCATGTTGACTCAGGATATCTGACATCTGTGGAACAATGACAGAGACACATATGACAAATGGGAAATTTTCTAAATAAAGAAGATCAGTTTACAATAGTTTATTAGACTCAGTTCTGATTGCCTCTCAGGCCTTCAGGTTAAAATGGTTTTCAGACATGAAGTTGGAAGACATTACGACTGGCTTTGAATTAATTGATTTGTATACATGAAACTTTGTGTATTTTGTTCTAAGATCCCAGATATTCCCAATATTTTCTACTCGAGATTGTTTGCCCCCAAGAGGTAAGCTTACCTCCTGAAGTTCACCATCCATGTGTGTTTGTCCTATGCAGGCGTTTGCTATGCAGAGTTTGGCGTCCGCGTCCCTAAGACTACAGGGTCAGCCTACACCTACAGCTACGTCACTGTTGGGGAGTTTGTGGCATTTTTCATCGGCTGGAACCTGATTCTGGAGTACCTGATCGGCACTGCGGCCGGTGCCAGTGCTCTGAGCAGCATGTTTGACTCGCTGGCAAACCACACCATCAGCCGCTGGATGGTGGACAGTGTGGGAACCCTCAACGGCCTGGGTGAGACTGCCACGTCCTCTTACCCCAACATGCAAGCTTTACTGAGCCAAATAAATGGGTTTACTTTCAGGATGCAGTTTGGCAAAATGTAGCAAGAGCCTTAAATATGTTCTTTTTTTTTTTTTTTTACAAAGTTAATTCACTCCCTGTGGATATATCCCAAGGAAATAAGTCTAATCTCCATAAAAACTTTTTACAAAAAGATGTTCATCACAGCCCTATGTCTAATAACAAAAAATTAGAAACAGCCTAAATATTCTACAGTGGAGCAAATGATTAAGTAAAGTGTGAAAGTATTATGTAGCTAACAAGTAAAATGCTTAGCACCCAGATACCATGGAAAGATAAGAAATCTGAAGACCACATCTCCTCAGCATACTGATTTCATAGAATGTTAGGTTTGAAAGGGTCCTACAAAATCCGGTGGTCAAGCCCCTTCACTTTACAGATGAGGCCCAGAAAAAGGAGGCACCTGCCCAAAGAGCCAAACAGTCCTGGCTTTGGGTCCTGTGTGCTTACTTATACTGTGTGATTAATAGCACTTTAATTTAATTTGACCTCTCTGGTTATGAGCACAAGCCCAGCTGAAGTTCAAGAGCCTGACTGCTGAGGCAGTGCCCTTTCCACTCTATAGAGGGCAGGAGTCCACTGGCCAACGGACAAGACCAAGCAGGCGGGGAACATCCACTGGCCTTTCTCTCTGCAGCTACACACACATAAATGGAAAGAACAGCCTTCTTCCAATAGTTTTCAAAGACACTCATTTTAGAATTTCCTAACAAAAAGATTGCTAGAATGGAAAGGAAAATTCATGGACTATAAAGTGAACAACAGTGAAGATAAAACATTTTTCAAATAACATGTTAGACCCATATATATCGGGGGTGCCCAAAAAAATGTATACACATGACTTGTATTCATCTTTTGTTTTCGGTATATATTATTATAATTTTAATACAGTTTTTTCCCTTTCTTAAAACGTGTACATTTTTTTTGGCACCCTCTGTACATCCCAAATGTCCCAGGATAGGCCTGACCTTTACTGTTCTGTACCATGGTTCCATAGGCACTGTTGTAATTATTGTATCATGCATCCCAATTTTCGGTTCAGGATATCAGGTTATCTTACCTATGTACCCAATCTTCCCATTTGCAAATAGACTCTTGTGGACCAGTGTGTGTGTGTGTGTGTGTGTGTACACACACACACACACACACACACACACACACACACACACTCACAGTTCCTTCTCTTCCGGCTGTGACCACCCTTCTCAGAGCTTAGTACAGATGCCCTGGGGTGGGGCCAGGAGTTTGCATGGCCCTTTTTTCCCTCTGGATAATATTAACTTGTGTCTTTCCCCTCTAGGGAAAGGTGAAGAATCCTACCCGGATCTTCTGGCTCTGGTGATCGCGATCATTGTCACCATCATCGTCGCGCTGGGGGTGAAGAACTCTGTGGGTTTCAACAACGTCCTCAACGTGCTGAACCTGGCCGTGTGGGTGTTCATCATGATTGCAGGGCTCTTTTTCATCAATGGGAAATACTGGGCTGAGGGCCAGTTCCTGCCCCACGGCTGGTCAGGGGTGAGTTCATTCCTAAATCCTCGTGTACCTGTCCCACGCTCTGCCTTCCACCCTGTGACCAATCTGGGACATATTTTCAGGAAAATGCTGCTCTGTCTCATAATTTTCACGGCACACTCTGCATCACCTTTCATTGGAATGTTCTGAAGAAGTGGTTTTTATTTATTTTTTGTTGTTGTTCCACAGATATTTATTAAGATCCCATTTTATACAGATAACAATAATAGTCAATGTTTTGGGTCCCTTGCAAGATGCCTAATACTATGCTAAGTGCTTTGCATGTACCATCTCATTTAATCTTTCTAATAACCTTACAAGGAAAATATTTACATTCTGGTCTTGCAGATGAAAAAACTCACACTCAGAGAGGTCAAGTGGCTTGCTATTAAGCACACAGTGGACATAAGCACACAGGACTCAAAGCCAGGACTGTCTGACTCCAAAACCTGTACAAGAGCAGCTCAGTCCTGTAGAACCTCTCTACAGTCTGTTCATAATAGAAGCAGACTGTAAATAGACAAGGAAATAAAGGAGGCCCGGAGAGTGGACAGGTGGGGCAGAAACGAGTGTCGCCTGGGGATGGAACTAGAGAAAGAACTGTTTTTAAATCTAACTCCAATGTTTGACCCAAGATGGACATTCCCTCTGTGGTCTGTGGGCCGAGGGGGTGCTGGTTATAAGTTTTATTCCAGTGGCATGGACCACACAGAGAAGTCTACGTGGTGCGGTCTGGGGGTTGGCGAGAGAGTGGGCTGGACCAAAAGGACATATTCAGATTTCACTCCTGTGACCAGGGTGATGCAGGTTATGCTTAAGAAAAATGGGAAGGTCAGAGTGGCAAATTCTTTATATTGACAAGGAGTTCTAAGTCGCACCTGGATTTTTCTCTAGGGTTAATAAAAATGCTTACCTTACGGACTGATTGGTAAAATTCACCAGCCCATTCTTTTTTTTTTTTTCTTAAGTAGAACATACATCATAGAATTTTGAGTGAGAAGGTATCTTAGAGGTTACCTAGTCCTATCCTTTAACAGGTAGAAAAACTGAGGCCAAGAGAGGCAACGCTGCTTAGGGTGGTGACAGAAGCAAGTCTAGGATTCCACTGGTTTTGCTTTTGTAGCTTTTGCTTAGATTGGTTTTCCTTCGTGATGTCCAGGGACCAGAAATCTCTGTTGGAGAACACTCAAAATAACTCCTGTTATTCTGAATCATGCCACGCTGTTTAATGCAGAGAAATAAGCAAGGAAGCAATTTCAGCCAAGGTTTTTAGTCTTCTGCTTATCTGTAAAAATTCCACAGAACCACAAAGTTCATTCCATCTCCTTGAAACGAATAAATCCTGAAGCTGGTTAAAACCAGAAGAGACAAAGAAACACTGTTGACCCCATTCTGGATCCCCAAATCTATATTTTTTTATGATACAAATCATTCCTTTCCTATCAAATAAAAGAAACAACAAATTATAAGAGATACAAAGAAAGAATGTTTTTCCAGAGCTCAATTGCATTTTCATCATAGCACACAGAAATGTTCTCACTATTTTCTTAACAATGTAAGAAATTATTGGGTCATGGACTTACTGAAAGACTTTAGCCAACAGCTAGCTTTGGTGCTTTCAGATGTTCTCATCTATCAAGTGTGAAAACTAATTATACCAAATGTTTACAAAAGAGAATAAAATCTAGGATGTTTTTATGTGCACATAGTGTTTTTATGAGCAATAGTGGTTAGTAACAATGATAATGACAGGGGGCAAGAGGGAGAATTTATCTACTACCTGCTAGGTGCCCAGCATTGTGGTCTATGAATATCGTCTCACTCTTTTAACAAAACTTTAAAGCAGGTGCTACTGTCCCCAACTTACAGGACGAGAATCCAAGGCTAAGAGAAGCTGGGTAACTTACCTGAGGTCACTTAGCTAGTTGGTCCCAGGACTGAAATTTCTACCCTGGTCTGTGTGGCTTCAAACAAAACCCTTTCCACTACATCAATGTCTTGTGTATGATGATCCTCCCTTCTGAGCTTTCCTTAAGGAAAAAAAAAGGGAATAAGGTAATTAATCTGATATGTTACATTTTCATTTCCTCAAAACTTTCCCAAAGTCATAAAGTCTTAGAACTGGGAGGAGCATTAAGAGATAGCCTAGTCTCTTTTCTTATCTTCAAATGGGAGTATGGTTAAACCAGTCCAGGCCCAATATACACTGTTTACCAAGGTATCATGTCAGAGTAATTTTAAATTTTTTCTTAATTACTTGGATCATGTTTAATTTTCAAACTTTTCCTAACAGCTTACCTAAAGGGCACACACTATACTCTAGGTGTCATGTTGAAATTGGAAAGCGTTAATACCCTCTGTGTAAATACCTTATGCCCATACTGAAGAAGATGAGTCTTTTAGTCTTTCCCCCTGTGCTTTGTTCTGGGGTCTTTATTCTCTTTGAGGGTCTTCTCTTTCCTTCTCAGGGCCCCTACATCCCTCCTCAGTCAGGAGCCTGCCTCATCATGGAAGGAGCTCATGATGCCAGCCTTAGAGTCTTGCCATTTACACATCCCAGATTCTCACTAGCTTTTATAGCAAGAAACAAAGATCAGCTATCAGGCATAAAAAAAGAGAGGAAAGATGCCATTTCCAATGCTTAACATTTTCTTTACGACAAACCCCTCCATATACACTTTTCATTTCTCTTCACAACAGCCCTGCAAAATAAGGACAATGATCTTTACTTTTACATCGAAATAACTGAAGCTTAGAAAAGTAAAGGCCACAGATCTTGATTGTAAAGGAGATGATTCCAGTCCTGGAGGATTCAAAGCCCTTATTTAAGTACTCCACGACGCCCTGGTAGTGGACATGGGACCAGTTGTCTTATTCGGCACCTTTGGCCACTAATCTCACTCCAACCCAAACATACTACCTTGAGTAGGCTTGTCATTGGCCACCAAAAAAGGTTGGCTGGGATTTGGGATTTTTCACTGCAAATCCATTTTCTCTGCAGGAAATTCAAATATGTGCCCTAGTGGCTGTGAGTAAAAGCATCATCTGAGCACAGAGGACATCCCAGTGCGAAGATGTTGCTGACTCATCCTCTCTCCTATCTGCCTGGCCTTGGGTTTCTGTGAGTAAATTTCCTCCCTGGAGAACTGGCCTGAACCTGTTCTTTCTCAACGTTGGTTTCAGGTCACTTTTCTAGTCCAGTAAGGCCACTTTGAATATAGGTCCTATTTTTTAAGATCTGACACCTTCTCAGGAGCATGTCATCCACCAAGTTAATACATGCACTCCCTACTTTATTATTTAACAATCATCAACAAAAATGAGTTGCCTGCTTGGCAGCTGCATGAACTTCTTTACTCCATAAGGAAACCCTGACCCCTACCCCTGATAAGAGGACTAGTTCAGAGTTCCAATCTATTTCATTCTTCCATCGCTTTAGGTAGGATGGGATGGAGGGAACCACTGTGTAGGGGGTGGTTTATAAAAATCCCATTGCATGACTTGAAAACAATTCTCAGTACTTTGAAAGGGTTAAGGACCCCTCATAAGCCTACTCTTTCTCATCTCCAACTACTTCCTTCCAAAGAAAATAGCTTAAGGAATGGTTTACTCACAAGTTCTGGGTCAAATGCTTCTTTGGTCTTGAAGAGCGTAAGAACAACAAACATTTATTCTCTATATCAAGTAACTGCTGGCCCTCAGCTGAACCCCTGCTTCCATCTGCAATTCTTCAGCCCCCAAATATTGTTGGATGTGTATTCCCTGTATGTTATTTGTTCTTGATGCTATCTTATGGTTTTTCTTTAACCAAATAAGATGCTGTACCAGCAACAATATCTCCCAGGAAAAAGGTCCATAGCAAGTATTTGTGGGGAATGCTGACAGTCTCCAAACAAAGGAAAAGTTCTTTTTCGTGTTCTCTACATTTAAATCCATTTGTTGGAACCTATTAGCACATTCCACTGTCACTGTAAACAGGCTGCTAATAGAGCTGGAGCAGTGACTGTGGTAGAAAATGCTATTGAAGTTGGAACTTTGTCTTGTTCCTTGGGAGGGAATTAGATAAAGGTGCCTAATTATCTCCTAAGCATCTGGCAGACTACAGAGGGCTGCCTCATCCAAATGCCTCTCAAATATCAGCAAGGTACAGGGGGCCAGCTTGTAGGGACCCACACCCCAGCCACTAATGACATTGCCTTTGACAACTAATTAAGCAGCAGCCCACAGCAACTGAGGCACATGCTGCTCCCCCCACCCCTCCACCCCACCCCCCACAAAGCTCTATAGAGGCACAGGCTGATCTGAATCGCCTGGCTGAGCAGCTATACGAGGTTGACTTTGGAAAACAATTTCCGCTTATATCATCAAATTAAAAAGTCAATACAATTTTTTACCTATGTAACACATTAAAGGTAAGTTAGAATAAAACACTAGTGAACCCAGTAGCACATATACATACACGCACACATACACACCCACTTTGCCCACCTATTTTATTCAGATGCTTACCCCTAGGTCCCACACTCATTCTTTCTTATAGGGAAGGGTACCCTAATCCTGAACACCAGGGGCCAGACCTGAGATCTGGATTGAGGAAAAGTGGAAATCAGGCTTAGTGGTTACTTGCGTAGAGACACACCCAGACAGTTTCATTTCATGGCTCTCTCGTATTTACCAATCAGGGATCATTTGCTTGCAAGAAAGAAAAACTCATTCAAACTAACCCAAGTAAACAGATGACCTTATTTGCTAATTGTATTATGTTCTCTTTGATAATCTGTTTATTTAATCTATATCTTGTTGGCAGGGTCTGTTTGATCTTGGCAGGTGTGCTGGCTTTTCTCCCTTTGCCTCCCTCCCCAACTCCATTCTTCACCCTGGAAGCTCTGTCCTGTGCTTCACAAGACCCCTGATGGTTCCTTCCTATAGGGTTTAGCCAGTGGAGATATTATCAGGAGATCAGAAAGGGAGAAGACAGCAAGGCCAGGGTATTTCCTCTTCCTCCCTCACTCCCAGCCTGGGCTCCTATACTCCCTTCACTGAAATAATTTCATTTGAGCCATCTGACTTACATTCTGTTTCCTGCCTGATGCAGTAGAACCTCCAAATGTCCTACCTTTAATCTGTTGAGTCTTTCTTCAACCATAATTGCTTTCTAGTTCTATGTATGCAAATTCAGGCTAACAGACATTCTCTTTGCAAACTTATTCTCTCTCTTCCCGACTTCACTATAGCTAACTTTCTGATATCTAATCATTATCAGTAATTGCCATCTATTCTTTCACTCATTTGGAAAACAATAGTATTTGTGTTTTTAAAATAACATAGATATTAATTAATCTTGTTCATTTTGTTACTGCAGTCAAGGTTGTGCAGTATCCTCTAGACTCCAAGCCCCACAGGGTCAAGCTCAGAGTGTGTTTTGCTTCTGTCTCCACATCACCAAGCACAGTGCCTGGCACATAGGAACAGTTAATAACTACATGTTGAGAACGGAGAGAAGAACGAGGATGGGGGGGTGGGGGAATTTGTGCTTCTGGGTTTCATCTGTTCTAGAAAAACGTACACTAGTTATAAAAACACTAATGGTAAGAGGTGATGTTTATTGATGACCTACTGTATTCTAGGACTGCAATTTTTTTATGTTATCTCATTTAATCCTTGTAACAACCTTAAGAGCTAAGAACTAGTATCATCTCTATTTAAAGTGATAAAGAAACTGAGGCTCTTAGAGGTTAGGAGCTTGTTCTAAGTCACCAAGTTAGTAGGTGGCAGAAGCAGCCTAGGTCCAACAGTTGACAAAGTCTGCACTCCTAACAAACCCTATCGCACGCACATGCACGGCTCTGGGGTTCCCTCTGGAGCATACAGCATACCTCTCCTCCAACTGCTACATGATTCGTACTTCAAAACTGGAAGGTGTTCCTCATGACTTCCACTGAGTCTCCTCTTATTCAAGTTAAACATCCCCTGATCCCCAGCTGTCCCTCACATGGTGTGGCTTGCAGACCTCTCACCTTCTTTGAGGGTAGATTTGACCCAAAGTTCTTGTTTAGGACCCTCCCATCCTCCTTTCCTCAGCAGTGAGCTCGTCCAGTATACGAGCTTTTGATTCAGAACCGACCACACCAAATAGGCCTGACACTGTAGCCCTGGCACATCCTAATTGGGAATGATGCATCTACAGAATGATTGTCATAACAGGTCACTGGATGGTTTACAAGAGGGGTGTGTGTGCGCGCGTGTGTGCGCGCGTGTGTGTGTGTACACAAAGGTGTTTATAAAGAGAGAAAGCAGGACCTGTTTTTCTGGAAGCTGTCTGAAAGCAGGGCTTTCTTGATTGGGGCAGCTTAGCAAAGCTAAAATCCCAGCATTTGTCCATCCTGAAAGACCAGAAACATTGTCTAGGCAAGTGAAAACAAGCTCGTTTCCAAGCCTGTGAACTTCCATGTGCGACGAGATACGATGTGTTTTCTTTCCCTGTTAAAGGCCAAAGACATTTCCCATGCCCTGAAATGACAGATTTTGCTGGAGTAAGATTGGGAGTTATGTCCTCGCCCAGAAAGTGGAACTCTGGCGATGGAACCACTTGTTTGAGAAGTTCTTTTTACCTGAGTTATTAGAATAGACCAGGAGCTCTTAGCTTTCTTTTTTTTGTTTGTTTTTGTGCTATGGACTCATTGGCAGTCTGGTGATGCCTATAAGCCCCTTCTGAGAATTGTGTTTATAAACAAGTTACCTAATTACACAGGAAATCAGAAGGAATCAATTAAATCACAATATAGTTATTAAAATATTTTAAAATTATGATTTAATAACAACGTGCTTCTTTATTATTAAATATTAATATTTAAGTCTAATAACTATTATAATTTGAAAGCAGCAATGAACACAACTGACATTCTAAGATCTCTGCAACAACTCTAATATGATAGGAAAATGTCTGGTCGCTACTGGGACAAAGTTATAGGTACAGTTAGTTTACCACCTACATTCATGATTAAAAGAAATGCTAACATTCAGTCAGAGCTTAGTGAAAATAGAGATGTCATTTTTTTCTCAGCAAAATCCACAGACCCCACCTGACTTTCATGGAGCACAGGATGAGAACTCCCAATTAGGGAACTGAAACATTACAGTCCTAGTGGGGGAGACTGTACAAGAGACCAACTCATTTTGCAGATGAGCAAAGGTGGGTTTTGAAGGTTTGAAAGCTTCAATATTGTGATGTCCCTTGTAAGTTCTAGTATTTAGTACTTTTTTTTCTTATTAAGAAGTCAGTGGGGGGCCGGCTGAGTGGCTCAGTTGATTAAGAGCTCGCTCAAGAGTTTGAGCTCTGAGCAACAGCAGTTCAAGTCCTGGCCGGAGCTGAGCAGCCGCTGAGCTGCCAACAGGTGGCAGGATGGCTCAGCTAAAAAAAAAAAAAGAAGAAGTCCGTGGGAAAGGTAAGAGTGAAAATTTAGGAACAGGTGTCTGCTTGGCATATGTTTTGAATCTCATCATTTACAAATTGAATTGCAGAAAAGAAAACAAAAAGTGCTGTCAGAAAAGAGCCTCACTCCTGGACCCCTGGCTAGAGCATGTATGTTGCCAAGTTCCCTCACCCCATACACACAAGTCCAAAAAAGTCTCTCTCACCTCGCCTAGAAGGACATCCCCAAACATTCAAAGAGGCACTTTATTTACTGTCAGCTGATAATGAGGATGCTAAGATGGGGAAACTGCATTTACACTTTAGTAGATCTTTTGGAAGAAAGTAACACACTCCTCAACGGACGATTTTCACTGACATCTTGACTTATGAAGTCCCAACCATCCTTGGAGTCACGTACCCTCCTGTTTGACATCCAGCAGATGTCACTGGATACCTCCTCCCCAGCTTTACACTGCCTCCTACCTCATAACTTCTCCTGCCTTGCAGCCCAACTGGGTCACCAAAGCTCCCAAAAGGAGCAGAACAATCAAACTGTCCCTACCCGTGTTCCCATGGAAGACAATAGAATACCTGGAAATCTTAAAAACTTTTATATCATTTAAGATTTGGAAGTTACCATAGAGAAATCTATCAGGGAACCTTCTGAGACCCCCATACCTAATGCCAAAAGAGCCCTACTCATGTCTCTGTGACAGTCACAAGTACCTCCCCACATTTAAAAACACCCCCTAGGGGCAGTCATGCAGCCCCTGGTTGTGGTTGAGAACCACTGGATAAAAGCACAGAGAGGCTAATGAGTTCCCCCAAGACACAGGGAGAGCCAACTTAGTGATTTTTTTTATAAACCCACTTATTTCCAGAAATGACTTGAATGTGTTGAATGACCTACTTTTTATTTGGGCATAATTCTTCTTATCTCCATTTTACACGTGAGGGAATTGCCCAGTGTCACACCTAGAAAGCAGAGGAGATCAGAACTCAAAAGTTTAGCAAAAGTGCTACCATGTTACCCCTTCTGCCGCTCAGTAATGTCTGCCGGGCATTGGCCAAGTGGGTACCACATGGAAGGTCCTGGTGCTGCTCTGACACTCTGAGTCTGACAAATGTCATCATCCTTACAGGTGTTGCAAGGAGCAGCCACGTGTTTTTATGCTTTCATTGGTTTTGACATCATTGCCACCACCGGAGAGGAAGCCAAGAATCCCAACACGTCCATCCCTTATGCTATCACTGCCTCCCTGGTCATCTGCCTGACAGCATATGTATCTGTAAGTACCGAATGTTTGCAGGACCCTCATCATGACCTTGTCATATTTGACCTTAAAATGGGGCCCTGGGGCTGGGTTCCTTTCTGTCCGGAACTGGTCCTTTCTTTGTGCCTTCTTTGTGTTTGTATGCATGTGTCCATGCCCCCTGTATCCCTACCCATCTATGACAAGAAAAAAATCAGGACTCCAAATAGGACATGGGAGAAGCCCCAGGCCCTCACTCCAGCCACGGTCTCTGAGTTGCCATCCCCGCTCACCCTACACACAGGCTCTTGGTGTCCACGGCTGCCCAGGGCTGGAGTACCGGGAGTGGGCCGCCATCCAAGGAGCACAGATCATAGGCTGGCAGTAACGGGTGGGTGTGCAAGCAGAAGCATTGTGGGCCTCTGTGCACCCTCCTCAATGCTCTTCTGTCTTCTGGGAGCTTCCCGGCAGTGAAGAGGCGAGGCTCCCCCAGAGTGGGGAGAGAGAATGCATAATGCTCTAGAGATGCTCTTCCCCTTAAGTACAGGGGGGAAATGCAATTTCTTTCTGCTGTTGCTCCCTCTTTTTACACCGGTGCAAGCTCACCCCTAAGGTTTCTCCACCAAGAGGAGTTCTCAGAATGAAGTCTTCAGCCTTCTGTCCTCAGGATCACACGGGACACTCCTCACACTTCCGATGTGTCATTTCTCAGCTCCTATCCTAGAATTTCTATCACAGAAATGCTTCAACCACATCCAACATCCTCCCTCAACATCCCCCTTTGCCTGAAGAATAGGCAAAGAAGTGATTTAGAAATGCACCACTCTCTCCCTTTCAGGTTTTAAACTGCCTTCTTGATGCCAGCATTGGCCTTCGGAGGCCAAGGGGCTTCATTGCCTGGGGCTAATTCTGAAGGGAGGGATGTTAGGGCAGATCTATGACATATAAGGGGAGATAGGTCCTGGTTAAGCAAAGTCATGATGGTCTTATAGCCCAGAATAGGACCAGATTCCACCCTGATGCCATAATTTGTTTGTTGGCCTGCCTGGCTCCTGGGACTGAGCTAGAGAGAGGAGATGGAAATATGAGTCCTCATCTGGGTCACATCCATTCATTGACTATGGATCTCCTCTGTACTTATCTTTGGAGTTTTGATCTCTGGTCTTCAGGATGAGAGGGAGTACAGCTAAGACCATGTAGGACCCTGACAGTATAAAAGAAATGAGAGTCTTGTCCATGTGGGCTAGGTGCTCATGGTCACTGCCAGGCCCCAGCTCCAGTGCCTATGGCTGCAGCAACTTCCTAGTAAAATGAACCTGGTAGTATCTGTCCTTCATTGAACTGTCAGTGAGTGTAGCTCTGCTTTCCTGAGGCTGAAATACCTGCAGACTTATTCCTCAGATATGAAAGGGCACAAAGAGATATTAGAGATTATGTGGTCTAGTCCACTAAATACACATGTGGCGAGAAAATGCTGAGACCAAGAGCTCCAGAGGCCAAATGACGGGTTTAAACTAAAGGCATATTTCAAGAAGTTGCAGATCCAAACCGCCGTGCCGGCCTCTCAGTTCAGGTCCAGGGCTCTTCCTCCCTGTGGGACAGTCATCCATCCTGTCAGTATCCTCTACCTCCAGCCATGTTTTCTCTTGTTTTAACAGGTGAGCATGATCTTAACGCTGATGATGCCATATTATGCCATTGACACGGAATCCCCACTCATGGAGATGTTTGTGGTTCATGGGTTCTATGCTGCAAAATTCATAGTGGCCATTGGGTCGGTTGCAGGACTGACCGTTAGCTTGCTGGGCTCCCTCTTCCCAATGCCAAGGGTCATTTATGCCATGGCTGGCGATGGGCTCCTTTTCAGGTAAGGGCTACTGTGCTCTGTGGAATTTATTCTGGTATGCCTCTCCAGGAAGAATGTCACTCACTATCAGCCTGACTGTAATTTCAATGTGAGTGACTGCGGAATTTGTCACACACATATCCTGGCAAAGAGTTTGAGTGAAAAGAGCTTAGGCCCTGAAACAGCCCCTCAGTTTGACTCTGGGTCCCTCAATCTAGCACAAACTGCTGTGTTCCCCCAAAGCCCCCCTCCTCCTGTTTGATATCGTGTGCTCCTTAGTAAAGACGGTGGGTGCCAAATTGCTACATTAGGTGGCCTTCAAGGAAGAATCCATCCCAGGGACATCTTAGGCCTACCTTCGTATTGAGGCCTGGTAACTGCCCCTCTCTCCACCGCCCCTCTAACGTTGAAAAAAGTTCAAAGTTACAATCAAAGGGGGGATAAGGCCCTATGAACAGAACCTAATAAGCATAGCAACAATAGCTATCGTTTATTGAACGTTTGTGTATCCCAGGTGCTTTGTACACAGTATCCCATTTTGCAGACGAATATATTCAGAGAGGTAAAAAAACAAACAAACACACAAAAATCACTTGCCCCAAATCTCCCAGCTACTGGGGTTGGGGGAGGCAAGATTTGAACTCAGGACTGTCTGACTCCAGAAACCAGACTTTTAACGCACCAATATATTGACTCTTCTACCCCTCTATGTTGGCCATAAAGTGGCCTCTCTGCCCATCGTACAAACGGGATGTGGCCCCACCTCTTGGTTCTCAGTGCCCATTCGTGAGGGGCTTGCAAGGAAGACATTCCTCTAGTGCACAAAGCAAGCAGTAAACCATGGAAGCCAAGGAGCTCTCAGAGGCGCAGAGGGACCCAGCTCAGAGACTTGACCTCTGCCATAGGCTGTCATCTTCTGCTCCAGGTCCTCAGCCTATGCCCTAAAGTCATCACCAGGTCAGAGCTGCTATGTTTGGGGAGCTGGACAGATCAAGAAGAACCTGACCGTGGTGAAGGTGTGACAACTTTACACATCCCAAAGGGTTTTCTGCTGTCCAAGAAAATTAAGAGGAAAAATGCTGGGGCTCCAAGCACAGTTTAGAGTCTTGTATGAATTCTGAAAATAAGGGAGGAATGGAAGAGGTGGGAGCAGGGAGGATCGAGAGAAGAGAGAGAAGGAGAACAGGAACCTACCAAAATCGCACAGGCACTGCTGAGGATGCAGCTGCCATTCATTCGCCCTTGTTGGTCTTCTCCAATCGGTAACAGGCTGGGTTTAACCTGCACCTATGAGCACAAGTTCTTCATTACTGTGTTATTTTACCATCTAAATCCCTGTACTTTTGCTATAGAGCAATGCTTCTCAAGCTTTGGCATAAATCAAACTCTGGAGGTTTTTTAAAGCATAGATTGTTGAGCCCCACTCCCAGAGATTCTAACATAGTAGGCCCCAGGTGAAACCTGAAAATATGTATTTCTCACAAGCTCCAAGGTGATGCCTGTGCTGCTGATCCATGGACCATACTTTGGATAACACAGGTCTAGAGGACCCCCAAGCAGGTGCATGATTTCTCCAACTACCCCTTCCTTCCCGGCAAAGCCTGAATTTCGATGTAGGTTTCTGAAATACCAAGTTCATCACAGAATGAATTAGGAACTTTAACAAAAAAGTGTGTCTCAAAACTAAGGAATTAAAGTAAAATTTCTTTAAATTATATTCCAGGAACCAACTCCTGGGGTAGGAATCACAGCTGTATTTAAAGCAATGAATCCAAAAGTAAATTGGAGGGGCAGGACCAGGAGGTGTGGAGCCGTGCTCGAGTCCATCACCATATGTTAACCCTGTGCTTCCGTGACCCCTCCAGGTTTCTGGCTCATGTGAGCTCCTACACAGAGACGCCAGTGGTGGCCTGCGTCGTGTCGGGGTTCCTGGCAGCTCTCCTCTCACTCTTGGTCAGCCTGAGAGACCTGATAGAGATGATGTCCATCGGCACACTCCTTGCCTACACCTTGGTCTCTGTCTGCGTCTTGCTCCTTCGATACCAACCAGAGAGTGACATTGATGGTTTTGTCAAGTTCTTGTCTGAGGAGCACACAAAGAAGAAGGAGGGCATCCTGGCTGACTGTGAGAAGGAAGTGTGTTCTCCGATGAGTGAAGGGGAAGAGTTTTCTGGCCCTGCCACCAACACCTGTGGGGCCAAGAACTTACCGTCTTTGGGAGACAATGAGATGCTCATAGGGAAATCAGACAAGTCAACCTACAACGTTAACCACCCCAACTACGGCACCGTGGATATGACCACAGGCATAGAAGCTGATGAATCTGAAAACATTTATCTCATCAAGTTAAAAAAGCTGATCGGGCCCCGTTACTACACCATGAGAATCCGGCTGGGCCTGCCAGGCAAAATGGACCGTCCCACAGCAGCTACAGGGCACACGGTGACCATCTGCGTGCTCCTGCTCTTCATCCTCATGTTCATCTTCTGCTCCTTCATCATCTTTGGTTCCGACTACATCTCAGAGCAGAGCTGGTGGGCCATCCTTCTGGTGGTTCTGATGGTGCTGCTGATCAGTGCTCTGGTGTTTGTGATCCTGCAGCAGCCAGAGAACCCCAAGAAGCTGCCCTACATGGCCCCCTGCCTTCCCTTTGTGCCTGCCTTCGCCATGCTGGTGAACATCTATCTCATGCTAAAGCTCTCCACCATCACCTGGATCCGGTTTGCTGTCTGGTGCTTTGTGGGTAAGCAACTTCCTCGGAGCCTTGAGAGTTTTCTTTTAAGGCCATAATTGTCCCAGAATTACCTCCTTGCTGGGCTGGGTATGGCTGTTTTAAGAGAAATCTGGCTGGTTCTATAGACTCTTGCTTTCTGCATTAGAGTCAATAGAGCCAGCTGTACCCTTTCTGTCACTAGTTCTGAAGAATGATGCTAATCAATCCATCACTTCATTGAATACTATTATTGGACATTCTTCTTATGGATAATTAATACCATGAAAAGTCCACTTTAAATTAGCCCACATAAAAAAGGAGGGAAAATAGCATAGTAAAAGTGAGCATGGGAAAAGTTGATTGAAGTTCTATCTTAGCAACTAAAATTTATGAAATTAAAAGTTATGGGGGAAAAAGTATCTTACATATAACAAAATTAAATTAAAATAGCAATCATGCCCTAATTTTTTAAATGATCAAAGTATGAATTAAGTGTGGATTTTTTGGCATAATTTTTCTGACAAAATTGCATCATGGCACCATTTAACATCCCTCACTTCATATAGACGTTTATAAAATATTCAAGAGTGTTTTATTTTTTCCCAATGTCCTTTCTTCATCCTTTGATACTCCAGGCATTCTTTTGGGAAGTACGCAGCACACCATCATCGTTGTTGATTTTCTCTTCTTCTGTTGATAACTGATATGACTATGTCAGGTCCTCAGTTGCCTATAGCTTTGGGTGAGGATTACGGTGGCTCTTTTACTACCTTCAGAAAGTTCTGTACCTTTCCCAAGATTCCTAATTTTCCTTTGTGATCGATTTATATTATATTATGATAAACACATTGCATGTTTATCATATCTATAGGGTTGTTGGAAAAGTCATGACGCATGTTTGCAACAGATGGCACTAGTTCATTTTTGGAAGGACTAGAGTCATTTGCATCTATGTTATTGCTATGTCATTTGACAGCTGACAGCTCTAGCTTGATTCTAAAAAAAATTGAGCGATTTGGTTGCATTTTGGAGATTTTACAAAAAGTTGAAGATGGAAGACCAAACTGTGTATTTTACTGTTTTAGTTCCATAAAGGGAAAAACGTGGGTCAAGCTTGTGAAAAGTTACATAAAGTTCATGGTGACAATGTTCTACAAGAACGTCAGTGCTAGCGATGGTTCATGAAATTCTGTTCTGGTGATTTTGATCTCAATGACGCTCCTCGGTCAGAGAGGCCCACCAAGGTTGATGATGACAAAATAAAGGCATTGATGGAGTCAAACCTGCGTTACACAACATGAGAGATTGCAGAAACATTAAACATCCATCAATCAAGCGTTCATGACCACCTGAAGAAGCTGGGGTACACAGGCAAGCTCGATATTTGGGTTCTGCATGAACTCAAAGAAGTTCATTTGATGGCGCGTATAAACATCTGCAATATGCTCATTAAACGTGAGGAAAATGATCTTTTTTTGAAGCGACCGAAAACTGGTGATGAGAAAACAATGTGGTGCACAAACGGTCTTGGTCCTGATGTGATGACTCGCCTCAAACAACATCGAAAGCAGATATTCATCAGAGGAAGGTTATGCTGTCAGTGTGGTGGGATTTTAAAGGTGTCGTGTTTTTCGAGCTCCTACCAAGGAACCAAACAATCAATTTGAATGTGTACTGTCAGCAGTTGGATAGTTTGAATGAATCCACCACCCAGAAACATCCAGAGCTCGTTAATTGTAAAGGAGTTGTGTTCCATTGCGACAACGCAAGACCACACACAAGTTTGATCATCCATCAAAAATTATTGGAGCTTGGGTGGGATGTGTTGCCACACCCACTATACTCGCCTGACCTTGCACCATCAGACTTCCACTTGTTTTGCTCTCTTCAAAGCTCCTTGCGTGGTATAACGTTCAATTCAGATGAGGCTGTAAATCAGCACCTTGTTCAGTTTTTCGCAAATAAAGACAGGTCCTTCTATGAACAAGGCATTATGAAGCTCACTGAAAGATAGCAAAAAGTTATCGAACAAAACAGGCAATATATCATTGATTGATCTTTGCTCTTTATATAAATAAATGACCTTTGAAAAACATAGACAAAATATGTCATGACTTTTTGGACAACCCAATAACAATCACTGATGTTTATGAGATGGTAGGGATTGGTGTTTGTGATAACTTGAGAGAAAAGTGTTAAGTAAAGACTAATTTTAAAATTCCTTAGTCACTATTTTTATGTCCCTATACAACTTAGTAACCCTAGGGTCTCTGGTAACAAATACAGTACTTAGTTAAGGAGGATGCTTAGGTGATTTGAGGAATAGGAAAGTAATAGAATAAGTAACCTCTGCCTTAAGGAGAAGCAAGACAAATACACATGAATCAACCAACCTGGGCAAGGCAGTATAGAGAATCATTGATTGGTAGGCCATCCATTCCCTGAGGTCATGGATATGGATGTTCAACATTGTGTCCTCTGAATCTCTAAGAGGTTAAATTGCATGCTCAAAATCAACAGGAATAATAGGAAGTTATTCACAGAACTGTTACTATAATCCAGTATCTCAATGCTCAGGTCTGGGGCTCCTCCTTCCTTACCAGGGTGCCTCCAAGCAGACCTTTTTATTTGATCAGAATATTTGATATATATAGTGTGTGTGGATTAACGCATAACATCAGGGCTGGCTTCATGGGCAGATGACCTGTGCAGTCACATAGGGCCCCTCACTTGGTTTAATGCTCAGCGTGCTGCCTTCTCGAATTCTTCATAATTTTTTAACAAGAGGCTCCATGGTTTCATTTTATGCTGGGATCCATAAATTAAGTAGTTGGTCCTGCATAATACCTATGGTTTCTGGAATACCAAAGGCATTCTGCAAAAGTGGTGAGGTGGCAGGGGCCCTTGCCTTTCTTTGGAGTCAAACAGGCCCAGGTTCAAAGCACAGCTTCGCCACCTCCATGTCTTGTAACCTTGGGAAATTCATTCCTTTAGGCTTCAATTCACAGTTTACTCATCTATAAAAATGCAGATAATGTATTCGCCTTGATCTGGTTGCTATTTGGTGCTTAAATCAGAAAATATTGGGGAAAGCAATGAGAATTATTCACTTCCTGCCTTTCTTTTAAAAATCTAAAATGATTCACTGTCCCCCAGACTAGCTATCACATGCCACAGTACAACATGAACCTGTTCTAACTCAGGCTGCCCTCCCAGTTATCAGGCAGAAGAAAACTCCCAGAGGGCCTTTTGTAATCTTGCTGATAGCACAAACTTCAAACTCACTCCAGAAACTGATACTGACATGGGAGGATGCCACCCTGCAGCTTGGGCTGGCCAGACAGAGGGCACAGGAGCCCACAGTTCAACAAGCACCCAGCTGCAAGCTACTAACTGCTTTGGTATCATGATCTTTGAAGCCTAGTGTTCAGTTTCACCTGTAACAAAGAGTCTCAACCCTGACTACACACACATCAGAATCGCCTGAATTGCTTCTAAAACAGTCTATGCTCAGGATCCCCTCACAGAGATTTTCTGATTCAATTGGTCTGTTATGGTCAATTTAGGGTATTTTTTAAAGCTCCCCCAGATAACTTTAATGTGCAGCCAGGTTTACAATGATCTAGAACAGTGGTTCTCAAAGTGTGCTCCCAGATCAGCACATCAATATTATATGGAATCTAGTTAGAAATGCAGCGTTGGACCCCATCCCACATCTACAGAATCAGAATCTCCAGGGGCAATTTAGGTTTGAACAAGCCCCCCAGGTGATACTGATGCATGCTCAAATTTGAAAGCCACCCACCTGGAGAGAAGAAGATATTAGCAAGCAAGGCAGATAACTTAATTACAAAAATTCCCTGTTTTTCAAAACAAATTTTTGCATATGTAATATATATCCATCCTACAACCCCAAATTGGCTTACAAAATCTTTAATAATGTTATAGAATAAATATCCATCTCTAAACCTCTGAGTCTCCAAACTCTCAGATTTTTCTTCTTAATATCTCTGTTCACAGTATAGCTTTCCTGGGGAGAACAGTAGAGATATTTTTAAATGGAGCTTCTTATGAAACATCAGCTACTTTTTAAAAAGAAGGTTTGCATGGCTAGGCTGAGTCATAACTTGATAATCTTCTTGGATACATTTTTTTACCCAACCTTCTCTAAATGAATCTTAATTACAGCACTTTTGTCACAATGTTTTGCTAAGCTTTGACCTTCAGAAGACACGGCTCGTAGAGGTAAAGGAGGCACAAGTCCCAACAAGATTACCTAGCACTTGTTCTTTTTCCTTCAGAAAATAGAAATAACACAATAGCAAATGTTTAATAATCCCAATGAAATGAGCACAAAGCAGGTTTCACTCTCCTTTCTTTTAGCTGATGTAGTTTTGTGAAGAACAACAACACCTCAAGGAGTTGGGCAGAGTTAGGGGCTATGAAGTAGCAAGGAGCAGTGAGATCATGCACTGTATGATGGTATTTTCATGGGCATCTTTGAGGTCTACTATTTCCTATGGGCCTTTATTATGAATTAATCATCTGTTAGACCACTTCATGGGCCTCCTCACCCTGAAAGGCTGCCATGTTTTCATCTGGAATGTTTTCAGTCCCTCTGAGAAAAACATTCTCTCTATGGATTTAGAGAAATGATAGAACTTGTGATTTGGGCAATGGACCCCATGTATCCTATACTAAAACATAAATATTCCAGAGAGAAGATACCCCTTATGACCTTTGTCTAAGCTAGCATATGAAATCTATTGGAAATTGACCAAAGCAGCCATTTTGATGAAGGGAAGAGGAGGAAAAAGAGGAGGCTATGAATTGGGATTTGAGAGGGCACCGAGATAAACAAATTCCTGAGGCTATGTCCCATAAATAAGTTTGAAATTCTCCTTGTAGGCCGAGGAGAAAGCCATTGGCACCTTCCACATCAAAATCATTCTCAGGAGAGCAAGAAAAATCATGAAGGCCAGGCTGAGGGTGGCAACAGGGCCAGTGGGATTCCAAGAAGGAGGGAGTGT